TACCTTTTTTTACCTATTAAAACACAAAGCAATGAAATAGACCCTACAGTGCCTAGGAGAAAAATTAGAACTATAGAAAGCCTGTTTCCTTTCGGACACTAACTAGTAGAGATTGACACCAAACAGTACAAGCTCGCTATCTCGGTTAATCTCGAACTCTCCACTTCCCACTTTCTCCAACAGAAATCATCTTGCCTTTGATATAGTTTCTCCGTCACTTACCATCAGCTCATCTCCAATTATTTTTCGTTTCCCTGAAGAGTTCGAGATAGAGGGTTCAACTGTATTTTGATTCTTACGGAAATCACTTAATATCGAATTCCCAAGAAATAAGTTTAGTTCCTGTTATGTCCCTCTTCGAAAATGGCAGAGAGAACCTTGACTGATCCGCTTCATGAATAGTGCCAATTACTTACTGTAAAGTTCGCAAGGTAGCGTCCCAGACCTCTTTCTGGGCAAGGCGGGGGGGGTGGGGGAGCTCTCCTTAAGGGTAACTAAAGTTTTTGGTACGTTTCTTACCGATCTATAACTTTTTCGGTCTTTGAAAAAAAGGAGTCCTAAAAATGACGAGCACAAAAAGTTTTTTCTTTTCTTTGGAACACATCCTATCAGTAGGACTGTTTTGTCGTATGCCCGTGTGAGTTTCGTTACCTTCCGTGCGCAGTTGTTTCGGGTAGATTGCTATTTTCGTAATTTGTTCACGAAACACAACGGACTTTTGTCGCCACTCAAACGGGATAAATTTGTTTCTTTCTGAAGGTTCTTATGTGTCAGTACGGAATTTCATTTGTATTTTTGTTTCAAAATTAATACCATATGACATTGATCACTGGAAATAATACTTCAATTAAACTGCAAGGCCGCTATTTAGCCCCGAAAATTGATCTTCTACAATTACGGTACTGAAAACAATTTTAAGTGGAAATGAAAACTGTTTAATTTATTTTGATTATGAAAAGGTTCTGAAATTGAGCTCAAATAATTATTGTAAACAACATCGCTTTACTAGACTATTTAGAGCGTTAGCCTTGAAAAATATGACCTTAGCTCCATTCTAAATATCTTGCAGTTCCATTAAAGTGAACTTTTAGGTATTTGGTAGTGATCATTAGATCTGTAAAGGTCAGCAAAATGGACTTGACCAACGTTATATTCCGCTTTTTTCAGCCGTTTCAAGCAGCTTGCTACCTCTGAAGTTTTGTCTAGATTACGGCACACCTCAGTCGGTGTCAGCGACTGTGGGTTGCTGAAAGAGATAATCAGACATATTTAATCGCTAAAACCGATGCTACAGCCATCATGGAACGATTTTTATAATTGACTGTAATAAAATTATCGTCATTTGGCGTCCATATGCATTGGGCCGCCGCGTGAACACCATGGCCACGCAACGCACCGATATATACCACACAGGCGATCTTGCTCTCGCAGTCCTTCATCCTATGCACGCAGGTTTTAATATTTTGGCTCAGATCCAAGCACCATCGTTGGCAAGATCGACTGCAGAATTGTTTATCGTGTAAAAATGCATGAAGTTCCTCTCTGACGCACTCTTGAATCATGTAGTTCTCGCTGTTTGGTTCAATCAGTCTAGCGCGGCATACTTTGTGGGGTAATGCATTCAAACTCTGCGAATCATCCTCCGGCAGAGGAACGTAAAATATGTCCGGGTTGTGAAACTTGTGCAATTTAAGCACGGGGCGCGCCAGTTTAGAAGTCGGCGATCCGGAGCTTTCTTTCCGCGCATTCTTAACCTGTACGGAGGTCTCGCGCATTCCACGCGTGGGCGACAGCTTCCCCTCTTGATCAAGCGCGGTCACCGAAGAACCATTTTCAGTTGGGCTTTCGTCGCTAGATCCCCCTTGTTTTGGAATTGATTTATTTGTAAACTGTGGCTCATTGATGCTCAAAGACTGAATAAATTTTTCACCTAATTCATCAAAGATTTTCCGTCTGGGTAGCTCGGGTGTGCGAGACATTGGTGTCTCTATTGACCCCACTTCCAAAACATGGGCTGGTAACGAAATTCTTCTTATTTTTCTTGATTCTTTGGCCGGTTTTAAATCTGCCTGGCCGCCGTGCTGCACTCTCTCTTTCGAAGAGGTCTTGTGGAAAATGTGAAATTTATCATCATTGCTGTGATGGGCGAAGTTATTTCCGCTTCCTAGAGTTTTGGGTGCTGAATTAATACGCAGAATTCTATGTTTTCCAGCACCGCTTATTCTTCGTACACGAGATGAATTATGAGAAGCTTTTCTGCTTGGCTTAAGAAGCCACTGTGGCAGTGAAATTCGTTTGAATCGCCTGGTTTTATGCTCTGTGCTGCCGGTGGAAACTAAGACCTTTTCCCCTTCATTTTCCTCGCGACTCGAGTTCGGCGCACCATTCGCTTGTACATCCCCTGCAGGATCTCCACAGCTTTTGTAACGAATATTCTCCACAGTTCCTTTTTCCTCTTTGAAGCCACATGACGCCACGCTCACGATTTGCGATTTAAACACTTCGACCTCGTAAATTTCACCCTGGTTGTCCTCGTCCGCAGCGGCGGTGCTTTCTTCGACGCTGCGAGCGGCTGACATCTCTGCTGCCAGGGGCGTGTAATGCGTAAGTAAGAAAACGCGGCTCATGTCTTAGATTTCGTCTTTGCTGAGCTGTTATCACAAGAAGATCCTCTTATCTGGGCGCGCATTTTATCGCCAATGTTTCACTGTGCATGTGGGCTGCATTCTTAAAAGCGTCCAAACAACGATCGAGCTCATAAACCAATCAACTCCATCACGTTAGAGATGATAGACGTTTGAAGAGGTCGTTTTCAATTTTCATCGGGCGAAGTAAAACAGGTTTTTATAAACAACAAATGTGTGTGGCGCTGTTTGTAAGCTTGCTATTTAAAGATCATCAGTAACCTATATAGGGAATATATATCTCATTTGACGCCACAATCACGCTTGACCCAGTGACCTGAGAATTTTTATGGCCTCCGTGATTGTCATATCGATTTTCTACGTAAACAAAAGTCTCATAAGTCGATTAAGGAAATAATTGTCGTATTTGATGTTCGTGATTTAGTGTTTTATCCCTGTTTCATCGTCCCGTCTTCATGTCATCAAGATTAATTTTAGGGCAACTTCTCAGATATCATCCATTATTTGACTTTCTCAAGTTACCAATGAGGATATGTATTGCTAATTTGATTATCATTATGGTTATAAGCTTCCTTAGACCTGGGATTCTGGAATCTACGCCAACCAAAAGACTTACAGTGACTTAGAATGTCACCGGGGAATGTCACCAGGCGATCTTTTTTTAAGTGATTAGATATAATTCTTGTCGCCAGACGTCTCATTGATATACAGCTCTTTATTTTTCAGTCTTTCTCAGACGTCCATGACGAATAGAAACTACATAGTTAAGAGAAATGATGACGTGACAAAAAAACTTGTTATTAACGAATAGGCGAATTAAGCAAGGCAATTATCAACGTAACCAAAATTTCGCTGCGTTTTGAACTGCAACATTGATGCAACTAAAAAAAACCTCCTGGTTTTCCCTATTCCCTACATCAATCAATCAATAAAACACAACTTTCCACTGGTAAATGGGGCACTGGTTGCTGCACCGGATTAGCTGTACCTAGTTAGCCCATCAAGTGAGAAACAGCCCCCGTTTATTGATAACTTCAGATAAGCTTAGATAGTGTACGTTATATGAAACTGAACAAATACATTAAAAACTAGTGTGCCTGCTGCCCGTCAGGAANGATATGTATACAGTATACTTCATAAAATAAAATTAGCACATGTTGGTAGCAGCGCCAGTCTAGAATGATTGCCCAAGTAAAATCCCGCCAACACACGATCTCGATTCTGATGTTGCCATGACAACTGTCAAATCTCCGGCGAACCGTGAAAACGTAAATTTGCTGCTATTCTACGAACCGCAGCAAATAGCAAAAAACATGCAGCAAAATGTTGGTTACGTTTACAATTGAATCAAAACATTATGTTGCTGAATGATGCGGGTTTCACTTCACACCTCCTTTAATTACTATCAAACGTGAAGTTAAAAACAGGGTTGCCCTTTTATAAACAGCACTGGTATCAACAGAGGCCCTGACTATTATAACAACGATATCTATAAAAATGACAAAGTAAGAAAGTTAATTATATAAATAGAGTATGTATAAAGGGGCTAGGTCACGCAATTTTAGGCAATTTCAGCACCGATCAAATGGTCATAGAATTAACTAAAATATCACAAAAACGGCTTAAAACTATAGAAGATCTCAAACAAAACACAGGAAAGCCAAGAAGGGACATGGATGGACAAAACTGGAAAGGATTAAAATGCATTGTATTTGGGTAAATTTGAAAAACGTCGGTCCACCTTTTGTCAAATTCATATCAGTTTACATCAAAACATCATTTACACAGCTGGAAAATCATTCTCAGTTGTTATGTGGCCGTGATTTTGCAAATGAAAGACTCTTGCTCTGTCAATTTGACGTTTAGAGCTCATAATTAACAAAATTAAACAAAATTACCTAAAAAAACGTGACCTAGCCCCTTAAATAAGCGTTAGGGAATAAATCTGAAAATGCCGAAGTGGTTTATGGGATACCAGTGATGCAAGCTAACCAACTCGCGCCTCGATGGCGATAATCATCTCATATCCAACAAGCGCGAGTGGAATAATTTTTTTTTACGGTGGCCCACAGAGGCAGTACAAAAATATTTCTCCCAGTGCAAAACTATTTAAATGTGAATAAAGCAGCACCTTTCGCGGCTTGTTTGTGACATTGCTGTAGCTTCAAAATCGTGTATCCAGCTGAAATATCACCCGAAATGTGACACAGACGTTTTCCGTGTAGCATCACCCGCAGAGTCTACTAGCAACACCACTGAACCGCCGGATTCGCCGAAGACGAGGAAATTTTCTTTGCCAAGCTTCAAGTCGTACCACAGGCAGACCACTCCATGTGTTCGTGATTAATAATTGTCTATATGAAAGGGATAGAATCTTCGAGAGTTATGAATAAAGCTCTGAAAATTGCATATCTAAATTACATCGCGGTCTGAATATCCCAGTAGAGTTAAATGAAACGTTAATCGACTAATGTGTGGTGTTTTTTCGCCTTCCTCGGCCGTCTGAAGCGTCTTTTTACGAAATTACTTTAGGCCGGATACCGGTAAGATGTATATCCGGCCTAGATAAGACATTACACAGTGTGTTTCTTGAGCTGAACAAATGCCCCTGAAAGTGCTTGTTGCAGAGTTTCAAATGCCCCATCCATAAGAATAAGAAAAATTCATAGTATTGATTATTAATTTCCTAGACAATTATCTTGTCACCTTTATTTATACTGTAAGGTGCAATTCAAGGGCTAGGAGACTTGACAGAAGAAATAGGTAATCTTGCAACAAACGTAAAGGAGGATGAAATAAGAGTAACTGTCGGAAGGAAACACGTGGTGGGACTTTACCAGGGCTCGGAATGAGTACTTTCTCCCACCGATACCATCAATTTTTTTTTCTTAAGTTCCTTTACCTTTATTTTCTTACTACATACTAATAATAATACTATATAATTACAATAGTTACACAACTTACAATACTTGTGGTGATTACAAAAAAAAAAAACAACACTATGTCACAATGTTTACGGTAATTACAATGCGATATACACCTGTAACTAGACTGTGATCTAACATACTGTGATAAATAGTAATACTGATTTCTACAAGGTATAATTTCTATTCACTTTAAGTAAATTCTAAGATGAAAATTTTGCCAGTTTTTTTTTTAGGGTCTGTTTACAAGGAGGGAGGGTTACCCTAGCAAGCGGGTAAACCTAGCTGGAGGGCAAAAGATAGCCCGAGTTTACAAGCAAAATTTCACAGTTTTAGGGTAACCCTACAACCCGGGACAACTTAATGCGCCGTTACACTCAAAGGGTCTGGAAACAATTACAAAGTTAACCCGGGTAGGCGGGTTAGCCCTACCTGGAGTGTTTGCAAGGGAGAAAGTTAGCCCGCCTGCCAGGGCAACCCTAACACGCAGATAGGGTAACCCGCCTACCCGGGTAACGCTAGCTGCCTTGTAAATACGACGAAGAAAAAATGAGGAAATGTGTGAGTGCTAGGGTAACCCGCTTGCTAGGGTAACCCTTTCTCCTTGTAAAAAAAGTAAAGAACAAATTGAACTAAGCGAAACCTTCTATTTTCAACATAAAATTTAGTTTCCGGACAAAAACATCACAATTACATTCACGTTGGTTGATTTTCTGGAAATGAAAGCAGAATTTGGCGTAGAGGAGGCAGAAATTTAGTTTTTTTATTTTATTATCATTTTCTCCCACCAATACCATCAAAGTTTTCTTTTGTGGTGAACCAGCCATTGATGATGGAGGTTTATTCTAGCACATTATAGTAAGTACAATTCCGCTAGACAAAGGTACTTAATATAAACCCCCTCACAAGTAATGTTGTAATTGGGGTAGCACTTTGGATGAAATACAACATTGTAAATGGGGAGAGTTTGAAGCAAGAGATATATATTCATGTTTCAAGTGATCAAAATAGCAAGTGTCCCAAGTATTTTGTCTGAGATGGTAGCTTTGGTCCCATTCCCATCAACATGTATCCTACGTAGTCAGATTATATTGACAGTATTACTTCCAGGTTGGTAGTAATATTTTTTCTCCTGATCAGCTTGCCTGACTCTTGTCAAATTGTTTGATCCTGTACATTTACAGGGTCGCACGGGCCATGGAAAACCTGGAAAGTCATGAAATCTTAGGGCCGAATATTTAAACAAACGTCAGATTAGACCTGGTTTTTGACAAGAGACTAAATCGAGGTTTAGATAAGGCCTCCAAAGACCACGGCTAAGCGTGGTCTAAATCGCATCATCTAAATGCAGTCGAGCCGCATTCCGCGGAGACCATGTCTAAGCGTGGTTTAACTAAAATTTCTATTGTTTTCCAAAAACCGCGTGTTCCGAATTTTGAAGAGGCAGATGAAAAAATGGCGTCAAAATCTCGAAATGTAAATTTTAGCCAAGAAGAAAAACTTCTACTTGCCGAGCTCGGGAAGCAATATCCCGATATAGAAAACAAAGGATATGACAATGTCAGTTTAAAAAGAAAACAGTCATCGTGGGAAAAAGTTGTGCAAAGTTTCAACGCCGGAAATCCCGATGGTAACAAGCTCGATATGAAAGCAATTCAGGGATGTTGGAAGCGCATGAAACTGCAAACGAAAAAGGAATTTGATGGGCAACGGAGGGAAAGCAAGAAGACAGGTTGTGTTAAAGCCCCGGCTTCACCAAATGCTATTAGTAAGCTGGTTGCTGACGTTATTCCAGCGTCGGTGAATCCACTGGTTAATCAATTCGATGATGACTCTGTTGAACATGCTGCCTCAGCAGTCAACAGCTCTGTGATCGACGACACTGATGAACCCGGACCAGATGTCCAATATAGTGTGCCGAGTACCAGCTCAAGCCACGACAGAAAAAGGACAGCAAGGCGAAAGAAAGAGATGAAAGAATCCGTTGTTGGGTAAGCGAATTTGCAATTTTCAATTATCCTTTATTTTACTTATTTATTTCCTGACAATTTGCAAAATAAATAATTTGAAATATATTTCTGTAAACAGTGCCAGATATGCATGCGAACAAGCAGACCAAAAAGGTGAAGATCCATTCTTAACCTTAGCCAGAAAGGAACACGAAGTGAAAATGAGGATTCTTCAGTTAAAAGAGTGGAAACTTAAGAATCAATGCATGCAAATAGGAATAGGTCTCCCCCAGATGTGTCACAAGAAAATGAAGATGTGTATCATTAGTAGCTGGTGTGAACGACTTGTAATAAAATATGGTCTAATATGATAAAATAAACAAATTATTTTATTTCTGTTAACAGTTTAGGTGAGCCATTATGGTAAAAGTAGAGACAAATTAACACGACGCAAGTGTCCATGCTGCCGAAAGCAAGGCAAAAAGGGTTTTGGGGGGCAAAGCTGTATCAACTTTAGCCAAGTTGTAACTTTTCTGCTGGGAGTTGTCTTCCTGTACCTAAATTAACTTATATATGTACGTCAGGTGCCTACATAAAATAGCGGGCGATAATTAACTTGCGTTTAGCGTTTCCACTTGCGTCTGCAGCTCCGGAAGGTTCTTCAGGTTCATCGTCATCATCATCCCAATCCACATCATTCATTTTACTTTCTCTCTGCATTATTGCAAAATTGTGCAGGGCCACAACGGTTGCATTGATAACCAGACAATTTCCAAGACGGGTACGCAACGCTACATGCAAGCAAGGGAAGCGCCGCTTCAGAATTCCAAAGCACCTCTCGATCACAATTCTGGTACGTCTTTAAGCATCATTTTAACGGAGTTCTGCTTCATTTCTTGGGTTTAGAAGGGGAGTCATGAGGTAGGATCTGCATGCTTATCCGTTGTCACCAATAAGGAGGCCATTGATGGATCCATCGCGAAATTGTTCAGCAATTGTGCTTTTGTCAAAAATGCGCGAATCATGAGTTGATCCCGGCCAGCGTTCGACAATGTTGGTAATTAATGCTTTACTGTCACAAACAACTTGAACGTTTACGGAATAGAATTGTTTCCTGTTTATGAAAGCCACTGCATTGTTCCTATCTGGACAAACAATTCTCTCGTGGGCACAATCGATTGCTCCAACGACACGAGGGAATCCTGCTGTCGTAAAAGCTTCTCTTCGTCTCATGG